TAACCAGACACTCATGCCATTTGAGGCCACATCTACGTATTGAATATGCAAGCAATGGTAAGCATATGGTAGATATGCAATGCATGTAGTAGCTGCATGTTCACCAAATAAAATATATGTAGTTTTTTGTGTGTATACGCGCGCGTGTGTGATACGCTTGTGAGGTTACTGTAGTGACAACCACAACTAACTAACACACCGACCAACCAACAAACCAACCAGTCAGCCTTGCGTCGTCTAACATTAGTTAAATTAAAAATAGTACATTTTAAGTAGGCTTTATTAAGGTGATTTTCTAACTGATATACAAATCGATCGCCGCTACCACTGCTGCCTACATTGCGGAAAATTCTATAACAAAATGCCTTAATATATTTGCGCATTTTTTTTTTTCTTTAAAAATATTTTAAATCTTTCGTTTCTCGAGAATCGTGTGTTGCGTGTGAGGAGATTGATTTTCTATTGATTTTTGAGAATATATTAGGTATGCGTGTTGTTTGCAGCACTCGAAGAAATGCATTTGAGCGCACAACAAGTCCACTGAAACAGACCGAGGTTGGCAACTCGATATTTGTTTATCACAGATTATCGAATAAATCCAAAGTCTGAGCAAATAACTTGTAAATTTATATTATTGATACGCCTTGGTGCCCAGACCTTCCGGGTTCTTCGCTTCCTTTTTCCATATATTTCTGAATGTATTCGGATAATCATAGACTTTTAATAATCAGGACTTAATAACATATACCCGCAATTGTTAGATTTTGATTCAAACTTTAATGTTGTCATCATCAAGGTGGAGGGAAAGTGGCTTGTTGCTGGCTCATTAGTATAATATTTCGCTAGTCTTCATTCCCATTCATGTTCCTGCAGGCAAGGACAAAGAAGAGGAGGAAGAAATGGAGAAGAGGTAAAGACTCTGAACCTATACAAAGATCCAGTTGATACCTCCACAAACCCAGCACTTGGTACACCAAAGCAATAGAAAAGCCTAGGTAAAGAATATTAACCCTACGGCAAACACATAACAATCAGTAATCTTCCGTCACAATGTTCGTAACAAAAGGTGAAATGAACGCATCATTATTCTCTCTACTTGATAAAGACTGGATGAGAAGATCATGAAGATTTTCCCCAATGCAAAGTATTTCTAGTAGAAAGTCAGTGAGAAGAGGCAATGGTATATATCCGCGAACAACTTGAACTTCCTTTTCGCTTTTTGCAGAAATCAACTAAGGCATTCGTTCTTATCGGTTTTTCTTAAAGTCACACACCTATCATCCGTCAAATGATAGGAAAGTCAATATAAATACGAATAACTTTAGCCGCAACCTTTGTGACGACAGTGCAATTGATTTAAGATGAACTAAACTCTAGATAGTCTAAGGTTGATTCTAAGGCGAATTTTTTCTATGCAATTTTTTTCATTGTATAAAATTAAAAGCCGTATTGAGGTGTTTTTTTTTTTTTTGTCACTTTTCTATTTTTTCTATATTTTTTATTTGCTTTCAAATTGAGTCACTCGCTGTTAGTATCGATTTAATCGTTTTCGTTTGTGTTGCTTGTTGTTTATTGTCAGTTGTTTATTCGGTTGGTTGGTTAGTTGACTGGTTGCTATTCGCTAGGTAATATTTATAGTCTTTCATGCGCACACATATAACATGTTTTTATTTAGAAAGTTCGTTAACCTGAATTATTTACCCACATACTTATCTATCTCTGCATGTTAATGTGTATATGCAAAAAATAGTGTAAGTTTGCTGCTGATGGTGTTTAATTTGTTTGTTGCTATTGTTTACCTAATCTGCGAGGCGGGATAGAAGAAAAGCGGGAAAAATGCCAATAGTTAAAACCATAATTTTTTTTTTTATTTTTGCTAAAATTATATAAAGGCGTCATTAGCATGGATAAAGGAGAAATTCAAATATGGCTAAAATATAAAAAGATAGCACATAACTTACTTCAATCATTTATGTTATGCCTACACGATTTTTTCTACCATCACTATATATGTATATGTATATTTTTTATTTAAATGAATTTCATCAACAGCTGCGGCGTTGTCTTGCATAGTCATCTTAAGCGCCAGGATAACAAAAAAAAAAAAAAAAACTTCATTTAACATTACATGTCAAATAATTTAAGACATTTGGACCAAAGGAGTTCGAGTTTTTGAATCCAAAGTTAAAGTGTGCAAGTAAAAAACTCTTATGACGAATTTAGATACTCATCTATCCCGTTAAAGGTTTGTGCTTTGCATCTCTTCAAAAGCCAATAGGGCTCAAGACGCGAAACCAAAGTTAACCTTCACATAACAGTAATAATAATTCAACAGACTTTTAGTTCTGTCGAGACGTCTTCGATCAATGGCGAAATTCTAAGGTTTATATTAAATTTTTGCTCTCTGAGAAGAAGGCACACCAGCCGGCAAGAGAAGCAATGGTTGGATCAATCTCTTCCACTTAAGTTTGTAGGCTAACTGACAGCAGCTTATTAGTGAATGTAGTTAAAACATCGATACTTGGACACTGTTATGCGTTTGAAGATGTAATCTTTTCATCAAAGTCCATCGAGGTAATATTCTTAAGAAACGTCAAAGGATTTAATCTTTGTCATGTTTTCCGTTTCCTCTGTACGTGCAATCAGCACATGGCTTGAGTTACACGAACGCACTGACAAGTTAAATATCACTTAGCACTCGTTTCCTTTGAATTTTTGTAATATTTTCCAACAAACTAAACTTGCCCACCTGGTAAATCCTTTTGCATAAAATTACAGTAGTCAGCCTGAAGCTTACCTCGTCCATATATTAGAAAATCCAACCTACTATTTAATAAAACAAAAAAAAAAACAAAAAAAAAAATTAGTAAACACAAGTTTATTTTCCATAAATCGAATAACAAGGCTTGTGACTTACTATGTATCGTACGTACGTACATTATTGAACACCAACAGAGTCAACATTTAATATGAACATAAAAAAATATGTACATAATTTTCATTGACTTCAGTTTCAGGGAGTGTTCATAGCGATCATTAACCAAATGGCATAAAAAAATAATAGCTAAGCACGTGTTAAATATCTTTAAATCAAAATCTTAAGTAAACCAAAGTCGTGGTTGTTGCTTTTTTAGCCCCTTCGTTTTTTTTTTGGTTTCTTTGGTTTCTTTTCCTTTAAGATTTGAAAATGATGTAATTTTTTTCTAATTCTTTTCATTTTTTTTTTATTTTTTTTTTTATACATTTTTTAACAAGAATAAAAAGATTTTTAATTTATTCAAATCTATTTATAATTTTAAAGGTTTCTTGCAGACGGTGGTGGTTGATTTCGTTTTTTTTTTTTTTTTTTTTTGTTTTTATGATTTTTTCGTCTAGCCATTGATTGTTAAGGTTGTTTGTTTGCCAAATTCTTAAAGAAAAAAAAAAGAAAATTTTCTCTATTTTTTTTATGTTACGCTGAACTTGACATTGCAAAGCATTCAAATGTATAAGAAATATAATATTGGCCCACTTAAGAACTTATATATAGTTGTTAAATATGCACAATACATATTTCAATGTTTTCTTTCAAGAATTTTTTTTTTTTTTTTTGTATGTAATGTGTCACTAATGAGTTGAGAAATTTGCAAAAAGGAAAAGGGAAGAAAAAAACATATAATCAGAAGAATTATATTAATTTTGCCATTGTAGAGAAAAGATAAATAGAATTTGCCATCAATTTCGATTCGCTTGATAGCTTTTACAAGTTCCCCTACCCTATTACCTAATCGTGAACTTGAAAAATAAAAGCAATTTCGGAGAAAAGGAAAAACTTTATACATGTTCGCCACATTGCTCTATAAGATAACTACTGGCAGGGATGAAATTAAAACCTAACCTAAAATGAAAAGTGAAGATTAAAGATACTTGCGGTTAGTTTTGAAAAGCCAGCAATTAAAGTAAATGAGTAAAACCGGTATACTTTTCATTGCGTTCCAAGCAAGAGCATATACTCAGTTAAGTTTTTTAAGTGGTTTGCATGAGTAATTGTATTATGTAATTTATTAACGTCGACTCCTGAAATCCAAATGAGGATACATATGTCGAGCTTTAGCTTTTCATTCTTCCCCCCGAATGACAAGCTAATTGACAAGAGCGTATGTATGCGGAGCCACCAAAAGATTTGACGATGAACGACTTCCCGGTGCGACTGCTGCGCCGAATGGGATAATTGACTGGACAGTCAATCAAACTTCCGTGCTGCTGCTACGGCGGTTATAATCTGGATTATAGTGAAATAACATGGTCAGCAAGTCGTTGGCGTTTAGTTCTTGTTCGATATGAAACGTGGTCAAGATATTGATTAGAACACTGCAAATACCTTTTCAATGGATAACTAGCCGACATCACCTCAAAAGGGAAGTAGAGTTTTCAGAATCCTTTCCTACAAGAACGTCATTATGGAAGCAGCGATCGCGATTTCGATCAATCCGCTTTTTATATGGAGTTGACCGAAATTCATTTCTACGTCGGAAATAGCTTTCTCGACTATTTTTTCTTAATCTTATTCTAGATGGCTATTGACTTTGTCTATTCACCCGTACCTTGTTTTACTATGCCATGAATTTAAATAAATTTCTTCTTATTATACCTTGTCAGTAATAAGTTTAGTTCTTGATAGAACAACATTCTCCGCTGAATGTTTTTCTTCCTACTTTCAACTTTATCTTAAAATTTATGTTTTCTTGATAAACTAAATCAATGTGTCCCGTTATGTCCATGCGTCCATAATGTGAATAACATTTTTGCGTGGGTTTGTTGATGAAGAAGAAGACGAAATAGGAAATTTTTTTATTTTTATTTTTATCTTAATTACTATATGAGATGACCATAAATATAATATCAAATTTATTTAAATTTATTAATTAATAATTAAGTTAAAAAAAGAAAATATTAATAATTCATTTTAATTTTCTTTCTTTTTTTTTTGCTTTCTTTTTAGGTAAGTCTATAAACGGATGTAATTTTATCTTTAAATGGAGGCATGAACACATGAGTACGTATATATCTGTTTAAGTTTTCCGTACACTAATGACTTTATAATTATCATAACAAAAAAATCAAATTAAATTTAATATTACGCAATAATTTCTTGCTAAAAAAAGAGTTTTTTCCTAAATTTTCTTTCATTTTTCGTGATTGCTGCAAATCTCGCATCAGTCATGATTAATGAACAGTAAAGCAAACAAAATGAAAAGCAATTATAAGATATATAAAGAAAGTGTTAATATGTGAAGAGCGGTAAATAAATAATAAACGAAATAAATAAAAAAGAATTATATTCGGCTATGATCGAATTTTTCATTCCCCTCAACCTTTTTCCTTAAAACACAACAACAGAAAAATTAAATTTCGAATGCCTACTTGAGTGGGCGTGGTCCATGTCTCTCATCTTCATATACTTACTATAGGGTATAAATTAAAAATTTTATGGCGACAAATGCTGCTCAAGAATATATATACTTTATGGGGTCTTAGAAGTGTCGAATTACGAATGTCTTGGGAAAAGGAGTATACCTGCCATTCTTCGCTGAGCGGTGTAATAATACAAATTAAATTCAATCACCTCGTCTTGAAGACAAATTACAACTTATTAGCAATCGTTATTCGGCAACATCAGACTCTATTCAGCAAGTGTGACAGCTGAGATCCATTTGTCATCTTATGGCACTTGGCGTCGTTCTTTCTCTTTCCTTTCTCTAGAAAGCATCCGCAGTGCATCTCTTTCATTGAAGTTGAGTAGACAATGCTGTTGTTTGTATCCTGAAAATATGCAGCAATTCCCAACGTTCTTTTGCTTTCTTTTCTTGTATTGGGTTCCTTGCCGGTCACTAAAAGATTCATTGTAAAGACATGAGAGTAAGAAAACTTATTAATCAACTTCTACGTGAATGTCCGAACAAAAAAATTATACTGACTTGCTTTGTGCAGAATTTTTTATTAGGGCGCAGATATACACTTGAATGGTTAAACGACCAAATATTATCTTCTTGGCTAGTTCATGGATAGCTCTGGCGATGTTTGGCCCTCCTTCAGTTCTGAGGATAAACCGCTACGCCTAGAAAAACTTTACCGCTTTCACGACAAATGCTGTCCACGTGAGGTAGTCATATACATACATTTATTTTACCAATTACACAGCGGCGAACACACAAATACACAACACAACTAAACTAAAGTTTTTAAAATAAAAGCAACTTAGTTTTCCCATCGGCTTTCATCACAAGCTTATATGATTATCTTGTTCTTCCGCATTGTAACAAAGAGGTCACTGTTTATTTTCGAAATATTTTTTCGATTGGTCTTAGAGATACCTTCTAGAATATGGAAACGAATAACTTACCTCAAACAACTTTTTTCTATAATTTTTGAAAAGTTACAGTCTAATGTCTTATGTGGATTGATTTCTAACTACTACTTTGCAAGCTACTGCTACGAATTTAGAAGATGCAGGCGAAGCTGTTGGAGTCGTTTCTGATTGTGGCTATAGAATTAAACATTTTCCTGTTACTTGGAAGTACCGGAGGTTCCGGCATTTTTATGCTTAATTCACTGCTTGCCTAATCAATCCTAAGCACGCCAAGCGTTCTTATATACATCTCCTATCAGACTGATATGATGCATAATTGTCTTGCATTTAATTCAGATGACGACCGACCAGACTCTCTTAACGAATCTTCCTTCGTTCGCTTATGTTTTTCTTTTTGATTCGATAAATTTTCGATTTATGAGTTGTGACGACTTTTTTTCTTTAATATGACCCACCATTCAGGGCATGTCCCCTCTTCATGTAACACATGGCGGCAGTCAGAATGAAGTGACGAAAGAGACGGAGATAGAAAGATGGTCGCCGCCTAATGGAAGCCTTCATTATAGCTACGACCTTAGTTAGGATTCAGGGAAGTTACAATTTTATCTTGACTTTTTCAACGCATAACTTTTGGCATTTGCTGGCTGCTGTCATCATTTTTAAAAGTTACTTCTCTGTACGTACTTATTTTATTATTTTGAATATGACAACTATTTATTAAAAGAATGAATATATTTAATATTATAAATTTAACAAACTTATTCCACGCGACTGACTGTTGCCAAACAACGTGATTCTCATATAAAATGCAAATGTCAATTGATTTGATTTTTAACTAGTCGGACGGACCGAGGACAAGGTAATCGCTACATCACATGATCACAAGCATTCACAGAAACGTTACATACTCCCGAGAAGTGGTAGTGTGTGTTGAGTATGGTAGAAAAAGAAAAAAATAATAGTTTATCATCACTTTAACTAAAAAAAGAAAAAAGAAATATATATAGAAAAACTTTCTACTTTTTGCAATCGATGATTAGTAAATCTAACTCATCGTCCAACGGCCATTTACGTGCTTGAAAGAAAATTCAATATATAAGAAATAATTTGCAAAAAAGAAATCCATATATATATAAATATATATATTTAATAATTAATTTTTAATTGGTAAAATCAAGCCAACACACATTCGCCGGTCGGTATGGAAATGAAATGTGCTTCTTGTGGATAATTTCCATATCAATAGAAAGGTTATTATTATGAAAAGGCCGCAATATTGCGGATTAACATTTAGCAGGGAAAGTGTTAGCAGAATAATAATAATTGCTTACTAATACATGTGCGCCGAGTATATATTTACTTATATTCCTTGGATATTTTTTTTACACAATTTTATTACAAGTTTTTTTTTCTTCTTCTTTCTGTCTTCGCCAGCTCATATCGTTAGCTCGCGTTTGTGTGACTAAAGTGTCATTGCCATTCTATTTTTTTATTTTTATTTTTTTTATTATTATTATTATTTCAATTTGAATTTTTATTTGCTCTGCTTCTATCACCGGTTAATGTGTTCGTTGTAAAGCGATTGCAACCGCTTTCGTAGACAACTGTACATTTATTAAAAAAAAAAAAAAAATGCTTGGATAAGCTTATAACTCTTACTCAACTAACTAAAATTTATTTGTACTCGTGTATATATGACTGGTCATGATTACGCTCTTTTCGTTACGAGGGAAATTTTTATAATTAATTTTTATTAATATTATTTTTATGGTTATGCAAAATTTCACTCTATCTGCTACGGTTCACAAAACCGTGCGGTAAAATTATAAGTGAGTTGAGTTCGTTATGGGAACTTGGTAACCTACCCCACCTAAATTTTTACTTCAGAAAGCATTTTATTTGTCTACTCACCATAAAGACGACGAAAGATTTTTATGTAAATTTATGAACACTAAGCCTCGCCGCATGCGCCGCATAACGGATGAAAACAGGTTTGCAAAGTACATCCGCGAATTCTTATTTATGTCTGTCTGTCCATCAATTCTTTTTTTCAAACGTTACTTGTCTGTGAAACTTTACTTCGAACTCATTTTCATTCTGTGCTGTGTACCAACAACAAATTCCGTGACTTTTCCATAATTCTTTACATACAAATATGTACGTCTCAGTTATTGCACATATGTAGCAAATTCGAGATAAAGTTTTGACAAATAATTGAGAAATAAGTCTGATATTAATTGTACAGGACCGCACTATACACACATAAATACTGTACTTTTTGATAATAAACCTCTGATAACGAGAAAAATGCTAAATAAACTTCATGCCGTTATTTTACTGATCGATCGTGTCGAAATTGATTAAGCCATCAAAGTATTGATTTTGCGATTGTCAACAATACCCAATAAACGAGACTTCTATTGCCCTGTAGTGGCAGAGTTTATTCCAAGCACTCGCAAAAGCTTATTAATACATTATGAAAAGCTATTCAATAATAAAAAAAAGAAATTGACGAACCCCACCCTTATCATATTTATATTCACTGATAGTCCACACACAATGCTATTATGTAGACATTGTCGATTAATTAGATATATTTACACTTTACGCTGATAATCTTGAAAGCAGGAGCAACCAAACTTTCAAAAATGAGCCGCAATTTTGAAACCAAAGCAAGACTTTGGTAAACCCTTTTTTAACAGAATTGCAATCTACTTTGTAGGTAGGGCATTGCATCCGCATGTCGGGAAAAGATGCGTTTTATAAGCTCTACTTCAGACGATAGATCAAAATTAGATCAAACCAAATTCATTTTCTCGAGCCTCTTCGCTATCCCTCCTCTTTTCGACCATGTCCGTCTCTACCTTTTTTTTTTTCAGACGCCTCCATTCCATATTACAACTTTCGGTCATTGTTTTTTTTAACTTTTTTTTTGCACTGTCATCATCAGTCTCTGTGAGATGCGCGCTTTTCTTTCTATATTTTTTTTAAATTCACAGTTTTATGACAAAGTTTTGCACGTCTTAGAACAAACTATAACACTTACGTAACTACTGGCTTCACTTACACGTATCTTTATCTGCATTTATAAAGACCTGCATCTGTGTGTATTATTATATCCGTGTGCGTGTGTACCAATAACATACGGGTGTTTATGTGTCTGCCAGTAAGGCTTGCATTTATATTCATTTTTATTACTACTGTGTGCTAGTAAGTACTATGACATTGGTCATGGCTCAGACAATGGTTTCTTCATCAACTTTAGAATAATATCGTTATATATGCACCGGATTATTATACGCGTTTTTATTGTGTTGGCAAAAGTGATGGTTTATTGAACTGCAACTAAACGATCGTCTTGAAGCTAAGTGCCCATTTAATAATAGCGTTCCTTTTAATTTAATATAATAAAATGAAAAGAAGTCGTAAATTGTTTTTCCACATTTCATATTTATTAATTCTCATCAATCAATCACCAATAAAGTTTCTCCCCTCAAGTACATGTACTTGATTTGCTTCTTTTTTTTCTCTTTTTCTTTTATCGATTATTTTATGTTTTTACGCTTACTTTTCCACGTAGTAAATTCAGTTTAATATTCTATTTGTTACGCGTGCAGGCTAGGGAGGTAGGGTTCACTATTAAGATTAGCCTAAGCATCTAAACTGAAATAAGGAAGTTACATACATCTATTTATTATCTTTCCACTTGACAAGTTAACACTAGACCTCCGTGGGTCAAATTGACCTTGTTTTGGAACAACCTAACAAGAGAGATCTTTCCTACCGTACTCCTTACTCCATCTCCACTAACTCCATTTTCAAGTTGAACGTTCACAAACACTACTCCGTTTCTCCACCCTGAAACAAGCAAGTTACATCCATCTGTTACCTTTCCACTTGACAGGTTAACACTAGAACTCCGTGGGTCAAATTGATCTCCTTTTGGAACAACCTAACAAGAAAGATCTTCCCTATCATACTCCTGACTCCATCTCCACTAACTCCATTTTCAAGTTGAACGTTCACAAACACTACTCCCTTTCTCCACCCTGAAACAAGCAAGTTACATCCATCTATTACCTTTCC